CACGGAATGTCTAATGATAATGTTGGTTTCCATTGAATAGATCATGTCTTTATAGCTCCATGTTGCCACAGATGAGGATGGTTGATATTAATCTAAAATACAAGTCACTTATTCAAATTCCAGAAATCTTTGGATAAATTGATTTAGTTGTCTTTGATTTGGTGGATGGCCTAACGATCGAAAACGCATCACCCATTCCCATTCCCTGGCTTGGACCTGGAAAAGATCCACAAATCGACCACGGGATCCTCACAAAAGCCGAACTCTAACTCTAACCTAGAAAAATTCCTCACAGAAGAAAAATATTTCTAAATCCGCAACAATGCGAAAGGGGATAATCATCGTTACAACTCGACATTTAGCTCCGCGCGCGCCATTCGTTGGCCATTCTTTTCACGGCCGTCTATCCATGCAATAATTACGTCTGTTTCACATGGGGTATCACGTGGGGTGCCCAATGGAAATACAAAACCGATGAATTTGATTAGGTAATAGTAATAATAGTGGTAATAGTCGTGGTGGTGGTGAACCCAACTGAACCGGTGGTCACGCTAAATCAACGGATCCAATTGACCTCAACTGGGTCCGAAAATTTAGCGTAGCCCCCTATGCGGTCGCAATATAATACTATCATTATATTTTTTAGATATAGTTATATTTTATTTTTTTATGTAATATATATATTCTATATATATATATTCATTCTAAATTTATATACATTATTTTTATATTTTATTCCCTATTTATTTATTCATTCTATTTTAATTTATATAGTTATGCATATGTTTTCTTTCGAACATTACAAATATATTAGATAATCTAAGAGGGGAGGAGATGAAAAGCCAACCTCTAGCGTAGGGGGTAATCTTAGGGTAGGCTCGGACAACGATGTGGAGTGCAAGAGGAAATAATAACATATCATCTGGAAAAAATCGTGGTGCGAAATTGACATCGCAGCCAAGGAAAGGGGATCGAAATGGACAATAGAAGATATAGGTCTAGGGGGAGTCTTTTTCTGTCCTTATATAGGAGGAATTTTGAGATGGAAAAGGGGATCCCTCAGGAAATGAGGCGCCTTTGCCGGCGGGGTGTTATATACCAGGGAACAAAGACGGCGGCGGGAGATGCATGTGCGAGGCAAAGGATAGGGCAGGGTAGATAAGGAGATTCCCGTATATAGACATCAATATGCAAGGTAGAATGAAACATATCAAGAAGTGGTGAAATAGATATGGGAGCGACATACGAATAGACGATAAAATAATTGGCTAGGAACGACGTGCGAATAGAAGATGAAATAATTGGCTATCGTCATATAAAGAATACGTGTATGGGGTGAAGTTAGCATCGGCAGTGCGTAATAGGAAATAGAAATAGACGGTAGAAGTTAAAAGGGGGGGTACCCTGTTGGGGAGTGCTTTGGAAATAAAAAGAACACCCTCCAAGATTGCACGTAAATTCCTCAACTACGTGTTAGTAATGGATAAATAAAGACGGTTATGGGCGAAACCATCGACAAATTTTCACGAAAATATATATTCATTTCGTTCGCTCCAACAATTTACCGGGTGGCTTTCATAATTAAATATATCGGAATCAAACAATATGTCTTTATGCAACATATTATGGCAAAATGAGCAAAAAAAGAAAAATATAGAATTCCTTAGAAAAATCTACCATTAAATATAATAAAGGTTAATCACATTAATAACCCGATCAATCCGCGTGTAACGAACAACACATGTCATATTCTAAGAAAGAAATACAACCTTTATTAATCAATTTGCATACCATCACATTTAGAAATTAACCAAATCATTTATGTAATATTCGGGAACCATCCGAAACGTATTAATCAATAAAATAAACAAAGAATAACCGGAAGCGGTAAAATTAATATTAGAATCACATAAACATACAAAACGAAATAATTAACTAATATTAAATAAAAAATATTTTTATAAGATAAAATTAAAGTCGCAAATACCTAATAAAAAATAGAAATAAAACATAGAATTCAAGAGAAGATGCTCTTTTTCGTCCAAATCCAAGAGAAAGGGCATCGTTCAAAATCCTCAATTATATTGTAAATATATTTGTTATGTATTATTAATCAATAAACAAAAATAATTATAAGAAATTTATTGACGAAACTAATAACAAATTTTCGTAAAACTACACATATATACACGTAAAATAAACAAAGAAGAATCGGAAATAACAAAATAGATATAACCGTCATTCGAAATAAAATAGAAATAACGAATAGAATACATCGATTTAGGATAGAATGCCCATTTCGTCTTCATATCGGGACGTTATAGGTAAAAAAAGATCCATATAGTTCGGGGAACATTTAATATACTAGTCAAAATTTCAAATAAATTATCGATTAATTTTCGTAAATAACTACTTCCCATATAGGATAGACCTTCCCATGGATTAAAAAAACACCCCTAAGCAATTCAAAACCTTCCGCCTCCAACATTTATCCGCAACTACAATCTATTCTCTTTCCTATCAAATATACGGTGACTTCTAACCAACTTTTCAGGTTTTTTTTCCCTTTCCTTTCCCCCTAGCAATAACAATTTACATAGCTAAGCTCCTTATAATATTAATAATACATTACTAGCCGTCAATTATATCACCGCCATTTCAACACCCCGCAAAACACCTCATTTTCATTGCCAAATAGCCCGCCTCTTTTTGTCGCTCTCCCCATCCCCCTCCCCATACCGCCAGGGGGTCCTGCTTGGGATTTCATAGATATAAAACGGGGGGGTTGGACGTACAGGCGGATATGTTTTGGGGGGATGGACCCCTTGGGTCCATGTAATGTGGGGGGGTGGGACGTGCATTTTGAACTAGTTTTAATACCAATCGGAGAGCGCTCGTATCGGGGAAACACTGCAACAAAGACAGACGAGTAATTTTATAGAGAGGTAATCGGAATGAAACTCGTAATGCATACCGTATAACACGTAAACACGAGTCGTTTTCCGTTGTACATTTTCCGTCTTCCGTTTACTTACGATTTGCATCGATCGACAAACACACGACTCGTAATCCCTTTCTTTCTCTCACAAGGAATTCTGTCTCATCAAGATCTTCACTCTTCCCTCTCTGTATGCCTCTATCACGCCCACGCCAAAGCACGATTCTCTATATTTTTCATCTTTTCTTCACGTACCGTTTCTATTGATAATGTCAGAATTTCTGGGGCACTCATAATACATAATGTCAAATCTCTATAAAATCCTATGTTCCAACGTACTAGCGACATATATTTGCTGCCTTGACATTTTTTATTTCTTTTCCAATGGAACGGAAAAACAAGCCATCTCTATAAAATCGCACGCTTGACCCCGCTAAGGCACTCATAATACAGTGTCATGTCTCTATAAAATCCTACGTTCAAATGTACTGCCGGAACGAAAAAAAAATCACCACTATAAAATCGCATGCTTAACCCCGCCGAATGACTTATATTCAAACAATCTGCATCTATGAAATCCTGCGTTCAAATATACTAGCAATATATATTTAATTTAGGCATTCTTAATAACATACCATTATCTATTAAATTACAAAGCATTCGTCAAAACTCAAAATAGACAATTGCTATAAAATAAGGGGTAAACACCCTTTCTAACGTTTATATGAAATTAATTTTTTCTATGAAATGGAGGACCACCTAATTTCATATATATAAAATCGTTTTATAAGGTGATGGACCCCTCACTTCATATTGGGGTATAAAAAAGGGGATCTCTCCCCCACCAGACTCTAGGTTCACCTTTCCGGAAGTGACCGACCACCACGCCCCCCACACCCCCTTTACTCAAATCGTTCGCTCAAGAACCTCAAGCCCAGCCTGTCGACTGGCTTTCGTAATTAACTAAAATCAAATACAATCTAGATTTTACATAAATGACCTTAGAAAGGAGGGGACGAAAGCAGCCACGATAAAAATATCAATATGGATATAAAGATGAATGCCAAAGCCCTAATAAGATCCCCACCTCTTTTCCTATCACCTCCTCCCCCGCTATACCCACTTTCTACATGAACTCTCCCACCCCGTATGGGGTGCCCATTTGCGTCTGGTCAACAGGCCTCTTCACCATTAAAAAAAAGGCACCCCAAGCAACTCAAAACTTACTCGCTACATTCTGCTCCCTCCCTGTTCTCGAGCGTTTCTTGCAATCCCTCTTTTCTTGTCACGTCCTCCTCCACTATGCCTGTCTCGTCCACATAAACTCCCACCCCATATAGGGTGCCCTTTGGAGTCCGGCAACTAGACCTCTACACCGTAAAAAAGGAACACCCCCAAGCAATTCAAAGTCTTCCCGTTGCTGCATTTTGTTCTCTTTCCTGCCTTCAACGGACCACAGCATTACATGAATTCGCACCCCATCTGGGGTGCCCCTTTACGTATAGTTGAGAGGCATCTTCACCACTTCTAAGGGCACCCCCAAGCAACTCTAACGTCCTCCTACGCCATGCCTGTCTTCCACCTTCCCCACAGCATTCTGGTTCCTCACAGATCACGCAGTGTCTTAAGAGGCACACACACCCTTCCCTTTCACGCTATTTCACTGGCAATGAAAGGCGCGCATCTCCCTTTTCTGGAGGTTCCCACCACTTTTCGCGCCCCGTTGTCCCCTCTTTAAGCCCTATCATTGACATGAACTCCCACCCCTAGTAATAATAACAATTTACATGGCCTCCTGAGCTCCTCATGATGCTGATGATGCACTACTGGGCCGTCAATTACATCACCGGCATCACAACACCCCCAAACACTACTAATTTGCACTACTAAGTGGCCACATCTTTTTTCCGCTCTCCCCCACCAGGCTCTGGGTTCACCTCTCCGAAATTGGCTGCCTCGCGACCCCCCCCCACACCCCCTTGTCACTTCGTTCGCTCCCCTACCTCAAGCATAGCCTATCGGCTCGCTTTCGTGATATAGTAAAAAAACTATATATAGTTTATTTTTTCAATTGATAGCAATTGAGAATATCAATTGGCATTGGGTCATATTCTTGAATTCAATTCCAAGAAAATAGGTTGAAGCTAGATCAAAGGCCTTCTCCCAAGAAAGACGCCCTATTGGCGCCGAAACGTAAAGGTAATTTGCTGAGCTGCCTCAGTTTAAGACAACTTCAGCCAGGTACAATGGAATGGCCTGGAAGTCTCGGAAGACACAGAACACCTGGCACTCATGCTTCCCACAGTTTCCCTTTTGGTAGCACATCACTTAGCACATCAAATCTTATGCACTTCAAGCGCTTTAGCGAATGTCATTGACAAGGCCTTGGGATTGGCTGCATCATCGACAGTGGAGTCGTAGCGAGTACCTAGTCACAGCAAAGAAACTTCACTTGTTTTCTTTCTTTGACACGTGCAGGCAGCAAATTAAGTCTCAATAGCGGACGGATTGGAGGGAGAAGAACACTCAAACCCTAAGTTATCTGGACGAATCTCTGTGAAGTTCAGTTGGTGCGTTCTGTCACATTCTTCCAAGACTCTCACATCATGTTTTCTGCTTGTTTACTATACCAAAAAACTGATCGACGGCTTTCGCACCAGCATCCAAAGCTGGTGGCTCTACGAGACCTTCTGCACCACGACAAAAGCGCCCAGGCAAAACTCCTCCACCAAAGACATAGCATCACAAAACTGGCCACTGTGCTTTCAGTGTTTCGTCTGAAAACCATTACACATTGCCTCCGGAATGGTATATTGGTTCTATTTGGTTCTATAAGTTTCTTTGTTGGCATGTGCCCCTTATGCCTGCAAGAAAAATAGCCCGTGGCTGGCTTCGTCCGCAGAAACGAAGTGCAAAAGTAGCATCTTCCGCAAAGTAGCTGCCTGAACGGGGAAAAGAACGCATGCCGGAGGAACATGCCGGAAGCATCCGGAAGCAATTCTATTTTCTGGTGAGTTGGACAAGCGCACCAATTTTGATTGTCACAATCCGAGTAGGCTGCGGCATGTGGTATGGTTAATGTTACCGGTGGAGCTTGTTGGCTGATGCTTAGCACGTTTGGCTTCTGCTGGGTGAGGATAGCATCTGAAGACCAGCATCTTTCACGGCCCTCCACGCATTCTCAATACAAAGCCGTTCAGCCTTTGACTGGATCTTGAACCTGCCTGAAAACGAGCACAAAGATTCAATGCATATCATAGCCAAAATTTACAAAGTCGCCAGCAAAGTAGGAACGAATATAACCCATTGTCTCTGCACTGATGTTGCGCCTGGAAAAAAGGCGCTTTTGCCCATTGTTGCGTTTCGCAAGCTTCTTGAAGCTTATGTTGTACAATCCCAAAACGTATCGCAAATCAGCCTCAAAGTTTTCAAACTTGATGATATGCTGCGTGACTAAGGGATCTGGGTCCAAATAGTCCACCTGGGGTATAAAGTGACCTCCGGCCGTTCCGCCTTTTCGCAGTCGCTGTTGCAACCAGTCGTTGAAGTCCTTTTCAGTATGAAACCGCGCCTGCATGTAATTAACCCCTTCAAAACCACAATGATATTCTGACACAAAACGCTCGACTGGATCCCGCACAACAAGGAACCAATCGTACTTGCGCCGCTTCTCAGCAGGAAAATGGCGAAACTTGTTGTGCTGATATCCGTAGAAAGGGCGGTCGTACATCCCCCAAGCAAGCTTGTCAGGACGAATCTGGTTGCCGATTTCCTCCACGGTGGTTCCGCCTGTCTTGCTGATGTGAATAAACTTCAGACCAAATGGCCCAGGACGAAGAACTCTTGAACTTGCATTGAGCAAATGTGGAGACACTGTTTGGTTCTGGTTGGAGGATTCGTGAGCAGTGACATTCTGGGAAACGTTGCTCATGTTTGGGGTAGACTTTTCCAAGAAGTTGCCTGACTGGTTTTGTTGGCTTGTGCTGAGGTTCTTGCTGTCAATCACCACAGCCCCCGGCACCAGCCCAAGCGACATAGCTGGAAGAGTGAGGGTATTTGCACTAAACATGAAGGCCAAATACATCGTGAAAATACCTGACACGTAGGCAAGCACAAACTGAAGCAGTGTACACAAGCTGCATGATGCCATGGCCAAAAGCACTGGACCGGAGACTTGAGTGAAGGGATGCGATTTCCGGTTTGAAGGACTTGGGCTGGCTTGACAAGCATTGCTACATGCTATGGCGCAAAAATATCACACATGTTCCCAAAAAAAGCACTGACTCCAAACTTCTTGTTTCTAATCCTGTGTGATGCTGCCAGCCGTCATGCTTTTGCTATCCTGGGCGGCGAGCGAGTGACCACCCCATTAAATTGGATGTAACGTGATGCAGCATGTTGCCATTTGAGACGCTTTGAGCCTACACGCGCAAAGCTTCTCCAGGCACATTAATATGCTCGGAGCACCCTTTAACAACATGGCCGCTATATGGTCCCACATGAGCCCACCTCGCCCCAGCTTGGATCCATGCCGCCCACCATATGCACGATTGAAGCCATTCTGTGCAATGTTGGCAACACAGTCCCAGGAGGTACCTGGATGAGAGCAATCCAACACTGCTCCAGGTTAGTTTAGTGGCCTTCCAGACTCTTTCAGCAGGAAAAATCCTATGATCTGTCTGCTATCACCTTCGAACATGTTAGTTTCAATGGCTTTGCCTGCAGGATCCTGCAGGGTGGTTCCAAGATTCCTCAAAACAATTGATATTCGTCACATTTCTTGTCAGTGTCTTGCCAAGACCGGAACCGGGATCATCCTTGCACATACAATCCAGGGTACGCAGAGGCGTTAGGAAAAAACAAAATCCGAATGAAACGTTTCATAGGAACCCTTTGACCAGAAGCATCCAAAGATCCGACGGACATTTAGATCGAAACCACACCTTAACCTCCCCAAACTTGCACACGCGCGCATCTGAGTGTGGCACCGTGCCACAGAAGTCTTTCAGGTCCAAGCGTTCGGCTGACGCCATTGTATGCCGCAGCAGCGGCACTACTACATTCCACACGAAGGACTTGAAGAATTCGCCACGACGGCAAAGCTCCTGTCGTCCAAGGGCATTTGCACAAGCCAAGAAACGCAAGCAAGAAAGGCATAGAAAGGCATATAACTTAGATGCAACAAAAGCAGCACACATTAAAAGGACACATATATGTGTATATATGTATAAATATATATATATATATATGTGTGTGTGTTGTGATATGTTACGCATTATTATATATTTGCACATGCTTAATGGATCTTGTCCAGCAGGAAAAACTTAGTCCTCTTTATTATAATGGCCTGTCTTAAACCATTTGATAATTATGAATTATTTGAGAAATTGCTTTGAACATTGAATTACTGTATCTCCACCCGGCTACTAGGCAAGGCAAGGGACAGTTATTTGCACAATGGCACAACGTACCTTACGTCAAGCGGTTGGACCAACCATGTTAAATCCCTTGGTACTTCCCTTAGTTTGGGTGGCTCCATTTTTAGAGCGATCCCAAGCTTGGCTGGCTTTACTTTCCTTGAGCTTGCCTGACCACAAGTTATATAAATTGTCTTGCCCTCGTGTTCTCTCATGTTCTCTCTATGTCTCCACCCGCGGCTTGGAGCTAGAAAGGGGCCTGAACAAAGCACGGCACCAAACGAACACCACAACACGAACAACATAACATTGGTTCATAATGTCCCGCCACGCCTGAGAGCCAATTTCTGACTGCATCAAGGTCCGAATGGCCCAGCAATTCAGGCGAGAAGGGTGAAGCGCATGGCAAGCTTGAGAGGCATCCTCTGTTGGTCAAATCACGGATTAACGATTCCACTGATTGCACTGAGGACACCGTTCTGACAGTACTGAGCACTGCATTTTGTGTGCTGGCGGTGGTTGTTGCTACAGTGGCGCTCAGGCGAGCCTGATGTGTGCCCCGTGGCGTTGCCGTGTCCACCCTGCTCTGTCCGTATGAGGGCCGCTTGCTGCGAGGCTGCATGCCTCTGTCACGTGGAGTTGCAATTTGGACAGACTTTTGGCTGTCCTCCAAAGTGGGCCCACGCACATCTGCAGCCCGTTGGTCCAAGCAAAGGTCTTGTCGCAATCGATCAGACAAACGCTCCGGTTTTGCAGCTTTTGGACAGGTTGTTGGCTTCATGTCCAACAGCTGTGCCTTGCGTCGCATGATCTCTCTGCGGTCTCTGGCCCTCTCGAGTCTCTCTCTCGACTCGGCAAATGCGTGCCGCGTTTGCCGTCCTCGCCAAAGACTTTGCACGGAGACAGCGGCATCGTACTGCACTTGATAAAACTGGCGAATGCCTCTAATCAACCGATCTCGTGCTAAACGACGGGCATGCCAGCAATTGAGTCTTGCGATTGCAAAACTCTTCCAGGCAATATGAATGTGGTGCAGCCTCTGCCTCCAAGCTCTCTGAATGACTATCGCCGAATGCATTGCAGCGCGGTGCAATCGTCGTATTTGGACCGTGCGCCAGCCACGCTGCACAATTGATACGGCATCCTCCAGCAGCAACCTGCGAATAGCCGCCTTCTTCCACAACCTCCTGAGATGCAAGCGCCGGAGCCTTCTTGCACGCGCCAATCTCCACCAGCGTTGCAAGTAAATCACGGCATCGCGTAGAGCTCGAAATCCCATAGGCCCCGAGCTGCTAAAGTTGCGAAACCACCACTTGCGAAAGGCTCGCTGAAGTCTTTCTGCTGCTGAATGCGCCATGAACTTCTGGGAAGGCGACAGTCCAGCATCCATTCGAGCCCATGAAGGCAGGCTGGTTCCAAGGCTGATGGGGACACTGGGAGTACCTGTTCGAATACGGCTTTCAGCTCCCTGAAGCTCACTTGGATAACCTCGAACACACGTGAGCTCTGAGCGACGTTTGTATCGCTCGTCAAATCCCTCGTGTTTCAGTGTCTCACGTGGACTCGGTCTCGGTGCATGTGAAGGCCGTGAAGGTGCAGTGACAGGCCTCGCCTCCGCAATGGTCTTTCGACGAGCACTCGGAGGAGGTAAGGTGGGGCGTGGCAAGCGCTCTCGAGGTGAACAAGCCCTGTCCATTGAACTTTTAAATCCTCTTTGACGTGGTGAGTATCTATTTGACCCCAGTCTTGGGCTCTCAGGACCTGACCCCAGCGGCTTGGCTTTCTCCTCGGAGTCTTTCGACTCCTTGGGCTCCTTGTGATGTCCAGTCACACTCCGGCTTTTGGGCGCCGGCGATCTTGCTCGGGCCTCTTGATGAAAGTAAGCCGCACAAGTGCGTGACAATGTGTCCTCTAAAACTCGTCCTGGCAATCGGGGCCCGACTGACTCAATCTGATCCTTCTGTGTGACAGGGCTGGACTTCCGTGCTCTGATTGGACTCTTAAACGGCTTGATTGCCTGAAAGTGGTTGGCTGCACAAGTGCGAGACTTGGTGCCCGCGAGCACTTGCCCAGGCAGGCTTCGATTTTTGAACTGTGGACCGTCTGAAGAGGTCAAACTGCTCCTCATACTGCGGCTTGGGCTGCTGGACGTTGCGACTTCCGCTTTACCGATCCGAAGATCGGATGGGCTTGGCGCGGGAGCAGGCTGAGCCCCTCGGAGGTTTGCGCTGCTCTTTAACCTCAAAGATTGAAGGTGAAGAGAATGACATGATTTCCTCCATTTTCAATGGGGATGTATTGGGTTCACAATTTTCTGGGTTCCGAATATGGATCCACTGAGTCCCATTCTCAAGACCATTGGCTGCTCCACGCCTTTTGAACTGCAGTATCCAGCCAGAGTTCTTCTTGGTTCAAATCATATAGCTAAAGCTATGCCTACACGCTGGAAACCGTATTTTGATGTAGTACAATGTAATTATTGAACGTTTCCCTCCTTTTCCGCCCACCATTTGCAGCGATGTTGCATTGGAACACATCTCGTTCTCTGTGATTTGCTTAGAGCATCGATGAGCATGTGCCGCCTTTCCTGCAACATGGGCGCTCTCGGGTAGGTAACAAGCAAAGGAATGCAACCATGCGCCTTCTCCAGCAAAGTTGCATTTTGAATTGAAGCCATTCCGCGGATCCATTCGGGTCCGTGTGCGTGTGTGAGAGGTTGTTGAACAAACTTGTGCATTGTATTCTGCATTGCGATCATTGCGGCGAACTGACTTTCTAAAGGTTGATGAGCGAAATGCTGCTGGCTTCTGACACTACTACACCTGAGATGTACAGTAATCGAAGAGCATGATCAAAGCATGGCCATGAGCAAACACATTCAAGCCAAATGGTTCAAGTACCAAGACTGCTGTCATTTTTGCTGGATTTGCCGGCGTGAGATCTGCAAGTGCACCAGTCAAACTGCTGGACACTTTGAATGCGCGCTGTTCCAGCGCAGGGAAGCCCAGCATGTCCACTCGGTGATGCCAGCTGACTGCATTGGCTGCTGGCGATGAGAGGCCAGAGTAAGACCGGCCACTGCCTGTTGGTGGATGGGACTTTGCCCAAGACTATTGGTTGCCCTCAAGGGAGAACTCAAAGACATCTGAGAACCATTCCTAACATCATAGAGCTTGTGCCAGCAAAGTGCTTTGACATGCTTTGACACAAGGAACGTGCCAACTGCCAACAAGACGCTTGATGCACATACCTTGGTTTCAGCAAGTTGCTCATTGCAGCCAAATCTGCTTTCTTTAACACATCGGTTCAGCTACCAATATCTACCAATATTATGTGCAAAGCTAGCCTGAGATAGAGCTGCTACCACCAAATACCCTATGCAGCCGAAACCAATGCCATCGAACTCTGGCAAAGCATTGGCAGCAGTCACTTAACAGCCAAGGTTGAGCCAACAACTGGCACGAAGTTTCCTAGTTGAGACGCCTGTACATTTCCGGAGGGTTCGTTCTTTGATGTCCTTTTTGCCCGGATGTCTGCTTCCAAAGCACCGGGCGCCACCAAAAACGTAGAAGCGCCGAGTACCTGCTTTGTGCTCGGCCACCGCCATACCTCGAGAGAAGCACCCTGTTTTTTTCACCGAAGGTTTTGTTTTGCGTTTCCACTTGTTCGCCTGCCCGGCCGCAAGGAAATTGCCCTTGTATCCAGCTCGCGACGTCCTTTGAGGATGGAACGGTTCATATTGAACAAGTCTTGAACAACAAAATTGTTTTCGCATTCTCTTGCCATCAAAGCGGGGTGCAATGCTTCTGTCGCACTCATTCATTTCTTGGCACATGCCGCATGCCTCAAAAAGGTTTCGCAGTCCTGAATTTGTTCGAAGCTGCTGTCATCCATTCTCTGTGAGGCCCTCAGCAGTGGGTGTATATCTATAGATATATATACATATAGCCCAAATGAGCCAATTTGTGTTGCACAGCACGGCGCATTTGGGCACTATATATTCCTTGAGGTTCTAAGTCCCATTCATCCGGCAAGAGTTGAACTATAGAGTCATCATGGTCCCCTCAATGCCGCCATTCGTAGTTGTCAAACCATGTGATCCATGTGATTGAGTCGTACTCGATCAGCAATCGCACCATGGCCACATGTGGAAAACATTGCCGTACGCCACTTTGACCGATCCATCTCAATCCGGAGCCGCAGTTTAAGGCAAGAGGCCCGTCTGCCGCTGGCATTGGCAATTCCTCCCCGTCCTATCATGTTGGCTGTGACAGGCAGTGTGACAACCAAGTCAGCGTGATTCAATTATATACTCTATATACTTGGAGACACTTCGGGTGACCCCCACCCTTGGACATAATTTGCAAGAGGACAAAGCGACATGTATTGACTGATTATCCTGACAAATGCTGCCTGACATGTGCGTTGAACCAATATTCTGACACTTGTTCTGGCTTCAATTCTGGCATGTGTCCTGACACATCATCTAACATAAAGGCTGGAAAAGGTTCTGGAATGTGTTCTGACGTCCTTTTTGGCATGTGTTCTCTACAAAGCCTTGCCCTTGCTCCGGAACCTCCTCCCTGAACCTGCGGAACTTTGCTCCGGAACTGCTCTGGAACCTGGTTCGGAACGTGCTCCGGGACCCCTCCGATCTGCTCCAAAGTCTTTACTATGGCTGAAGACCCCTAAACTTATCTATTGGGAAACAATCTGAAGACCCTCACCTGGCAGGTGGGGAATATTCGTGGAAATCCACGTGGAGTCGACAACGTGGAGGAAACTCTTGCCGGAACTCCTGCGAGACTGGCCTTATATAACTCAATAACTCAAATTCAGCTCTTTGCGTACCTTCCGGGATCAAAATCATACCATACCTGTAACAAATCTCATCTTGCTGTTTCAGCATGTCTTTGACCTAATGTCTTGGTCGAGTGCCGACGCGGCAACAGCACGTCCCAACTGTTCCTCTTGTGAAGGTGCCCTTGGCCTTTGCCTTGAGGGCAAAACCTGGCACTTAAAAAACCATCCAGAATCCAGAGCAACAAGAGTTGGGAGCAACCTGGTCGAAGTGCGCCTGAAGCCGGCTCTCGCTGATGAGCATCACGTCGGCCCCGACCTGTCGCGGCTTCCTTTGCATTTAGGCACCGGTACTTAGATGATTTATGGTGATTTTAGACTGAACAGTATTTACATAGGTCTTGTGCTCTCGCAAGATTCAATATGATAAAAAAATCCCTACCAATTACCTAGGGGGGGCGTCACCTAATTGTAAGTTACAATTTCCTAGGTTTGATACCTCAAAAATTGTAACTTACAATTACTAAACCACCTCACAAATTGTAACTTACAATTTTGAGGCATCAAGGTGGGTCAGACACCCCCCTAGGGGGGTTGAAAATGTAACTACACACGTCGGAGGTAGTAAGTGACATTTTTCTGTCCCCCCCTTTAATTTCATGAAGTTACATTTATGAACCCCCCCCCCTGTGAGTGGTTTGTGGGGGGGGGGTGATAAATGTAAGTACAGGCCTCGGACGTCCTAAGTTACATTTTTGAAGACCCCCCCAACAAAGCACGTCAAGGGGGGGGTGCTTACAGTTTAAAAAAACCTAAGGGGGGGGCAGAAAATGTAAGTTACATTTTTGACGCCCCTCCAACAAGTCCCATGGGCAAGGGGGTAGGGATATAAAAAAGATACAATAAGCCCAAGAAACACCCCCAACAGCTCAAGGCCAATTTCACAGTCTCCGGAACCTCCTCCGGAACCTGCTCTGGAACCTCCTCCAGAACCTTCTCCAGAACCCGGCTCCGGAACCTGCTCCCGGAATCTGCTCCCGGAACCTGCTCCCGGAGCCTGCTCCCGAGCCTGCTCCGGAACCTCCTCCGGAACCTTCTCCGGAACCTGCTCCGTGTCCTCCTCCGGAGCCTGCTCCGAATCTGCTCCGAAGCCTTTACTGTGGCTGAAGACCCCTATAGCTTCGCTGTTGGGGAAAAATGCAATCGAACTTTCTTGAACCGAAACTTTCTGGGCCAAACCAAGCGCTTCTCCAGCGTCATCGCTTGTACTGTCGAAGCTCGTGGATGCTCTTTATGACTCAGTGGGGTAGCCAAATGCAAACCAAACATCTGCCAAGACTGGAGGCTGCCTTGACATGCCATCCATTGTGCTGGCTGTTTGGGATCCTCACAGCTTAACACACAATTTCCGAGCGCAATCCAACATGTCAATCTAGATCCAAACTTGCTGCACATGAAGCTATGCTCTTGTTACTCATGTGCCCCAAAGTGATCCAAGCTTGGCACTTTTCAGGACCATCCACTACTGCTCCAATTACTTTCACATCAGCATCTTCACCCCTGACCTGCCGCACAAGTCACAACAGCACTGTAGCATTAGCAAGCACGAGAATTGCGAAATAAAGCACGACATTGCACCAATGACAAGCACGTAGCTCTCGACTCTCTACAAACACAATGCATGTCATCTGCCAACTGTTGCCTCTACCTGTACTCCAATTCGAAGCCGTTCACCTGGGTGCAGGATGACATGGAGGCCTAGTTAGTGCAACACGCCCATGAAACATAGCTGCCACTATACGTCCTCATGTGCTGCTCACCTACTTTCGGCCCTGTCACCGCCATCCACTTGCATCCACTGCAAACTACGGGCATTTAGCACAGCTGTATGTGGATGGCCAAGGTATCCTCAGCTCGACTGAGTTCAGCATTGGCAGCATTGACTGAGTTCAACAAAGCTGCAGTGACGCCAGGCAACTTCGTTCGCTGGCCTCGTAGCCTCCAAATATTAGGACCTCAAACGTAGGACCAACATGGGGATGTGTTCATTGCACAAAAGCACCGCTGAATGATCTTTGATGACTCGAAAGACAACAAAATCATTCAATCTCATCATATCCAATCATTCAATCCCACATGCACTTTTCAACGTAGCTAAATGTGGCTAGACTTGGGTTCAACATCACACGAACTTACAATGAGTCCAGTTGTCTTCACGCACCACAGAGTGATCTTGGGATTGTTCAGGCCAAGTCTTTCACGTCAGGACGTTTTAAGCTGGCTGCATTGAAGTGTCTCGTGACGGGGTCGACAGGACCGACGGGTGACAGCATGCGACTGCTTCTTCGTCCATTCTGCCAAAATGCAAGATTTCCACCCAGGTTGACGGCTGAATGCTGCAATCGAGGCCTGCAGCTTTTTTCTTTTATCTCTCTCTCTCTCTCTGTCTCTCTCTCTCTCTCTCTGCTGCCTCCAGTATCCTAAAAACTCCTAACTTTATCCAAGTAGCATGGGTTCAAGCCCAGTTGTTTGAAGGCGGCTCCACTCATGAGTATTCAAATTCAAAGAGTAAGTTGTACTGTCCTGTCAGTTCAAGTGAAACAATGCGAATCGATCGCAGCTTGGCCAAACATCTCTTGCGAGGTGTTACTTTCAACACCCTGTCCGATAGGAATCGACCACCAGTCTTCCACTGACCGCCACCAAAAAGAACTGCAAACCGGTCATCGCCTTGGATGGTTCGACCTTGCCAATTGAAACCAACGCTCTACTACAGAACCTAGTGCAGCGAAAGTTGGCACACCTCCGGTACCGAGTTGCAATTGGTCAGGCTCCTTAAAGTTCAAAGCAAACGCTTTGAATACAACATGAACATCAGAGTCGCCAAAGTTAAAGCAGCTTTCATCCCCATTCTTGTG